GCTCCCCAATAACCCCGCCTCCCAGTGCCACTGCCACCAACCCCAAGCGCAACACAGCCCAGGACAGCTCCCCCCTACCCCCCACCAAGGAAGAACCCGCCCCAGCCCACACCCACAGCCTGCCCCATCTCACGCAGATCCCAGGGGTACACGACCCCTTCCCATGTGTTCCCAGGGTGCACACAACGTTGTTCCCCCTCTGCACACCCCCCAGACGAGCCACGGCTCCGTCCCATGCCCTGCCCTACTCAGGCAGCGCCTACCCCAGGCCCAGCCCCATCTCATCGTGGGGGGTGTTGATCTGCTCCCCCACACCTCTTCCCTCCCCGCTCCCCTTCCACCACAACAGACTTACCAGCTGCATGCAGCTGTATTGGAAGTCAGATCCGTATCGGCCAATATGCCTCCATAAAAAGCAGCTATCGGTATCAGCCCCCAAAATCTCTATCGGTGCACCCCTAAAGAAAACAAGTATCCTATTTACCTGTAGGAGCCTTTGTCATCAGTAAAAACTGTGATAAGGGGTGAAGTTGCTCCCTTTTCACCAATGATAATCTCAACACCCTCCAATTCAGGATGAATCTGTCCTTCCAGAAATAAACCTGCTTTTCCATGAATCGCTATCAGCTTCCCAGGGCAGCTTTCTTAGCATGACAAAGGGGAAAAACACAAAGGTTAAAAATACCCGCAACAACAGCTCAGTAGCATTAACCTAGATGATCAAAATAGTCCCACACCTGACCATAAAACCTACCAGCACAGATCACTCTAAAACCAATTAAATGCACTTCAAAACTAGAAGCACAAACACAACACTGATGTCTGAGATTTGCTAGATTACTTGGGGCATTCATTTGTATATAAACCACTGTGCACTGGTCAAGCTTAAATCTGAATCCAAAAGCCATGGTACACTTCCCATAGTGACACTAGTAATTCACACATTAGCAAGAACTTTTGAGGGAAGACCAAGCCACATTAATGATAATGTTACCAGTAAAAAGTTAAATTTGCTAGTGTGCAAGAACCAAAAGTACTATCTTATACAGCATTTGAACATTCTGTGGGTACAAAAACACAAAATACTTTCCAAGAAGCTGCAAATTTCACAAACCTAAGGCAAAGAGGACAAAGACTAAGAATGTGCAACTGCACCAATACTGACTGTAGGTACAAGTGATATTCTATAAGAAATGTCTTTGATAAATATGTCTAACAGAGTTATTGCAATCTATTATTATTTAATTATTTAACAAAAATCATTGGTGACAAAAGCTTCCATTTACCAGATGAACTTTGACAGATATTACACATAAGCCAGTTTAAGTGATCAGAAACTGGTTTAAACCTGTAACAGAACAGACGTTCAGTGTACATAAATCAGTCTGAAAATGGCTGAAACCAATTTCAGATAAACCCAGTTTAAGGTAGTATCAGACTTAACTGATTTGGCTCAAACTGGTTTATGCAACGTCTGTCCCAGACCCCTTCCTGGTTTAACTTAAACCAGAGGGCCCCAGCATCCCACATGCTTTGCAGCCCTGGGCAGGGCTCACTTCTCCCTCGCTGGAGCTCCAGCAAAGCAGGCAGGCATAATAGTATCTGCCTGGCTTCCCCATGCCCCGCTGCTTAAGCAGAGATTCCCCCCTCCCACATCACGGATGGTAGCCAGAGCGTGCTATACTAGCTAATGCTGAGAGGAGTCTGTGTAAGGCAGACAGGACAGTGTTTGCTGAGGGCTTTTTGGAGCTAATCAACAGGTCAGCTGTTAATGGCCCTCCATTCCTTTCTTGGAAAAAGCTGTTTAACAAGAGCTTGAACTAATGAAAGAGGCTTTTGTTTTCTTGATGGGCTGATAAATGCTCTGTTACTCCTTGTGTAACTCCCTGCTGTGTAACTAACTCCCTGCTGGCACACTCACTGGTCAGGAGCAGTGAGGGGGAGTGAACACTACCCTAATCAGAGCGTGCTGCTAGGGCCAGGCCATGCTGCCCCTCAGCTCAGCACTGTGGATGGGAAGGGAAGGGAAGGGAGGGCTGCTCTATCACCCGCTAGCTTCTAGTTTAAGCCATTGCAAGCATGTACCTGCATTTCCTCAGTCCAGAGGGGATGTCTTTACAGTTACAAACTGATTCAGTCTAGCCAAGTTAAACTAACCTGCAAAGACTGAATCAATTTAGGCTCAGGCTTTTTGAATGCCTGTCCCTAGCCTAAGAGGATAAGGAAACCACAAACGGAGAAACTTAAAATCTCTGCACTGGACAACCAATAGAACTAATTATGACGAAAGTCAGAGTCCCTTTCATGACAGATGGATTTCCTCCCTCAAGAGCGAAGTGAAAGAAAAGATATTACTTGGATATCCTTACTAAGCAGGAAGTTTCTCTTCTCAAGTTATCATCATCTTTAATATTACTATAGAATGTAGGACTCCTCATTTTTACCCAGAATACAATTGTACTGAATGATGTACAACATCTGGTGAAAGCACAGATTTATATTTCTTTACATTCCTGTAGCTCAAATGCTTTCCATTTTCAAAAAGGGAAATTAGCCCATGCACAAACTGGGATGCAACTGAAACTGGGTACATAATATCACAACTTCCTTTGAAAAGCAGCTTATAATTTGATATGTAAGGATAATGGTTGCCTATATAAAACTGTACTGTGTCTTTTTTTTTTTTTTTTTTGCTATATATTATGTCTTTACCTCCACTGACAACTGTTTCCACGGAAGGTGGATAGAAAAGCAGCTCTTTTGATGAAGGTGTCACAGTGATTTTTTCTCCAGACCTAGAAAATAAGCAGAAGTGTAATTAGCAGGTCTCTTGCAGCACTGCATTCTCAGCAGTGTGGCCATCAAGAGAGGTGGAGGACAGCATAGGACCTAGGAGTAAGCTGTGAGACATTCATGTCACGCATTTTTAGGCTGCAGCCACTGAGATTCACCAAAGGAACTTGAACAACTGACCTATTCCCTCCAAATGGCAGTACACCACAGCGGGGAGGACATAAGACAATGATAGACAATAGCCCCATGAGAATTGCGCTGTACTACTGTGCCGAATATATTATAGTACCTTGCCCAGTATGAAAATTCATATGCGAATGGCCCTCGGAGTTCATCCACCATTTCTTGCACGGGTGGCGTTGTTCCTTCCTCCTCCTGCCCCTTCCTCTCTCTTTCCTGTCTGCGAGCCTCAATCTCTGCCAGCTGCTGCTCCCGGCGCAGCTCTTGCAGAGATTTCAGGGGCCCTAAGACTAAGGCAGGTTCGCTGTCAATCGATGATCTGAAAACATAAGAGGAAGACAAAATGTTCTGTCTTTGGAATAGAAGCTACATACTCATTGTACCTCCTCTCTCCTGTTTCAGACTGCAGGAACTTTTAGCCCCCTCACTTTCTTTAACCATCCTCCTTTAATGCTACCACCTCCTCCAAGTACAAATAAAACTAAAGCAAAGGCAGAAATCTCTTCACTCATCCCTATCTGCCAGCTACTGCTCGAAAGCAACATTCAGAGAGAACAGAAAGCTGTACAAATTCTCCCAGAGGAAAACTGCCTTGTTATTCTAGAATGGGAGAAAGGTTGGCGCTTCAAAATTTAAGACTACCTGAACACAATAAATTCAGTTACACAGATTGAGTCTAAGCGTGTGAGAGATCATATTTCTTTTTCCTGTACTAGGAAACCTCTAAAAACCCGAAAGCCCTACTTACAAGTGCAGAGTGTACGTGGCCAACAGTACACAAGCAAAATAAAGGGGGTAGAGTATCAATGCTGAAGGACGGTAACTTCTACAGAACAGAATCACATATAGAAAAACAATATTAACTAAGGTTTTGTCTCAAAACTAAACTGAAAAATTTCTGCAGAACTTAACACCAATGGAAATATTTGTATTTAGACAATGAGGGGGGAAAGTACACCACCCTTGCCCTTAGAGCAAGGTGTCAAGCATATGACCTGCAGGCCAGAGAGCATCTCTAACTGGCCTGCTGGACAATGAAAAGTTGGGGGGCAAGGCCTTCTACAGAATTCAGGACCCTTTGCCCTGCTGACCACAGCTGCTGGCAGCAGGTTTGGTTCATTATTACCTGGACGTTGTTGTTCACCCAGACCCCCTCCACCAGATCCCTGGGCGGCCACAGCAGCTACCCCCCAAGCTCAATCCAACCCAAGAGCCCTGTAGTCTGGCTCTAGGTGTTAGGTCCCCGGTGAGTTTGACACCCCTGCCTGAGAGTACTTAAATCTCAAATAACACATGTTATTAGATGATAACAGAACTTTAGACTTCCAAAAAATGACAGGGCCTGCCTCGGGGAAAGCAAGGTGGAACCAACCTTGAAGTACAACTACTATTGTTTCTCTGATCCTATAAAATCAAGATCTGTAGCCGTTCTCCACAATTCCCCCCATCCTCCACCTCTTTCTCTTTGCCACTCTTAGTCATTCATATTTAAAGCTCTTAAGACTTGGCTCAGTCTTTTTTTCCCCATTTTTGCCTTGCTCAAAACCACAAGGTCAAAGCCCATGAGAATGGTCTTTCTAAAAGATGCTTAGCTGATGTCTTCTTTTCCATCATCCTGGCAATGTTCTCTACTCATAGAAGTCATTGCAATTTCATTGTATTTAGTCCTCTATATAATTCCCTCAAGTCCCTATTACATCTTGTTCAAAAACAGTTCACCCATACCAACCAAAAGTTTACTTCAAGACTTTTTTCTAGGTACTGAGCTGTCTTTCTTCCTTAGGAAGTGCACAGGTCTTACCTCAATAAAAAAAATAGATGTTATAATAGTCCTGCATATTTATCTACATTTTACTTCTTCTCAATAGTTTGGATGTAAAAATTATCTAGAGGAACATAATAGGCATT